ACTATATACTTTAAAATGCTTAAAGCTATTATTAATATTATTATTTAAATATTTATTATTTAATTAAAACTTAATAAAATTAATAAAGCTATTTAAATATTTATATTAATTTCCTTTATTAAAATTAATAATATAAAAATAATTAAAATAAAAAATAAACTTTTATTATAAAAAGATATTATTTAATAATAGCTATTTAAATTATAATATATTAAGATTATTATTAATTATAAAAAAGATATAAGAAAAATAATACCTTTAATATAAATTAATTTAATAACTTAATTTTAAATATTTAATATATAATAAAATATAAATTTTTAAATAACTTAAAATTAATTAAGTAAAATTTTAATTAAATAAACTTTTAGCTTAAGCATTATATTATAAAATATTTTAAAGCTAATAAGAAATGCTTATTTTAATATATATAAAGATTTCTTTTACTTATTTATTTTAATAATAAATATAAATAAAACTTAAAGTATATTAATTAACTTAAAATAATTAAAATAATAATAAAGTTTATTTAAGGATAATTTAAAAGGTTTATAAATAAGTTAATTAAATAATTAAATATAAAGTATAAATATTAAAAATAAAAATATTATAAAAAGTAAAAATAAAAATAAAAGCTTTATAAAAAGTAAAAGTAAAAATTAATAAAGCTAATATATTATGCTTAATGCAATAATTAAAAGAAAAAATAAATTTACTTTTTATTTTATAAAGATATTTAAATCTTTAATAGCTATATTAATATTAATTATTAAAATAAACTTTAATAATTAAAAGAATATAATTAATAAATATATTATTAAGTAAATTTCAAAAATATTTAAAGCTTTTATAAAAAAGTAAAAGCTATAATAAAATAAATAAATAAAGAATTAAAAATAGCAATAATAATTAAGATTATAATAAAATAAATTTTAAAACTTAAAAACTTAATTAAAAATAATAAAGTTTTATTTTAATAGTTTTTATAATATTTATTATAAAATACTTAAAAAAAAATATATTAATAAATATAAAGAATTATATAAGAAATAATATAATGTTAAATTTTAACTAGCTATAAAAAGCTAGCTTTTATATTTATTTTAAATATTCTTTTAAGAAATTAACTCTTTTCTTTTTTTATATATTTAATGCTTTAATTAAGCTTTTTTTATTTTTAAGAATTTTTAAAATATTTATCTTTTCCTTATCTTTAGTTTTTTTTTATTCTTATCTTCCCTTTTTATTGCATTAAAGCTCCTCTTTAAGTTATCCTTAAAAGGGTTTAGCAAAACCTATCCCCCATTATTTAAGTAGCTCGTTTTTAATATTAATGCTTTTTATAATATTAATTTAAATAATTTAAGGATATTTAATAAATATATATAACTTTTTAATAATAACTTAAGTATTTAATTATTAAAGTATTAATTTATTATTATAAAATTTACTTATAAAGTAAAATATATAATATATTTATTAATATTATTATATTTTTATTAAATAATTTAAATATTAAAAGATTTAAATATTAAATATATAAATATTTACTTATTTTATATATTAATAATTAATATTAAACTTTATTTAAAATTATAAAGTTAATATTTAATTAAAACATATTATTATTTATTATTACTTTATTTATAAAGAAATTAAAAAATATATAATATTTATTATATTATATTTAAAGATAATATTATTAATATTTATATAAAAATATTATTTTATTTTACTTTTAAAAAAACTTATATAAAATTAAGATTAAAATAAATATTATAATTTATTAAAAATTAATAAATATTAAAAAATAATAAATTTTTTTAACTTTAATTAATTTTAATAAGCTTTAATATTTATTTATTATAAAGAATTTAATTAAATATAATATTAATTAATATTAATTATATTTAAATCTTTATTTATAATTAATTTTATTAATTTAAAATAATTAATATAATTATATTTAAATTTAAAATAATTAATTTTTAATAAAAGAAATTTATTTTAATTTTTTATATTAATTTTATTTTAATTTATTTAATTAAATATTTAATATATTAAAAATTAATAATTATTAATATATTTTTTATTTAAAAAAAATTAAATTTTATTAATTATATAAATAATTAAAAACTTAAAATAAAATAATATAAAATTTATATTTATAATTTAAGCTATTAATATTTTTTATATTTTTAAAATTATATTATATTATAAAATAAATTAATAATATTTATATTAATAATTATATATTAATATATATAAATTTAATTAAATTAAAAAATAAATATTTATTTAATATATTATTAAATAAAATATTTAAAAACCTTTCTTATAACTTTTTAATATAAAAAATATAATTAATTTTTTATTAATATTATATAATATTAAACTTATAAATAAATATTAAGCTTAATATTTTATAAATTTATAATTTAATTGAAAAATTAAATTTAATTATTTTTATAATTATTAAAAAGCTTTTTATAAAAATTTAAAATTATTAAAAATTAATTTAAATTACTTTATAATATAATAATTAAATATTAAATTATTAATAATAATTTTTATAATTTTAATAAAATTAACTTTATAATAAATATAATTATTATATTAATAATTATTATATATATTAATAAATATAAAAAAATTAAAGTAATTTAATTTAATAATTAAAAATAAGTAATTATTATTAAATATATTAATATAAATAATTTATAAATTTTATTATTTATAATTATTTAAAAAAAACTTATTATTTTATTAATTAAATAATAAGATTAAGTTTTTTAAATAATTAAATTAAAAAAAGATATTAATTATTTAATATTAATTATAAATAATTATAAAAGATATATATTAATTAAATTTAATTAATATATAAAAATAATAAAATTATTATTATTAATATATTATTATATATTATTATATTTATTATATTTATTATATTTATTATATTTATTATATTTATTATATTTATTATATTTATTATATTTTTATTATATTTATTATATTTATTATATTTATTATATTTATTATATTTATTATATTTATTATATTTTATTATATTTATTATATTTATTATATTTATTATATTATTATATTTATTTTTTTAAAATATATATATAATAATTAAATTAATCTTTTTATTTAAGCTTTTATTAATTATATTATTAAATTTAAGTTTTTTTTTTATATTTAAGGTAGCTTATAATAAAATTTTTATAATAAAAAATATTAAATTTATATTTAAAAAAGTGAAAAAAAAAATTTTTAAAACTTTAATTTTATAATTTTTAAGCTTAATAATTATTTATAAACTTTTATATAATTTCTTTTTATTTTTCTTTAAAAATAAAAATTATTAATATTATTAAATACTTAATAGATTATTAAGTAATTAAATTTTATTAAAAATAAAATCTTTATTTATTAAAAAGCTTTTTTATATTAATTATAAAGATTATTAATTAAATAATAAAAAATATATAAATAATAATATATAAATTTATTATTTTAAAGAATTAAATTTATATTTTTAAAAAAGCTAATATAATATTTATTAAATATTAAAGAATTAAAAAAACTTAAATATAATTTAAAAAAGTATTTATAATTAAAATATTTTAAGCTTTTATTTAAAAATAAATAAAAAAAATAATTAATTAATAAAATAAGTAATAATATTAAGGAATTAATTTATAATAAATTCATTAAAAGATAATATAATAATTATAATAAAATTAAATATAATATAAGAATTTATAAAAAAGATAAAAAAGGATTTATTTAATTAAATTTTAATTATATTATAATAAATTTAGCTTAATTAATATTAATTAATATAAATATATATATATTAATAATTTATAATAAATTGTTTTTAAGGATATAACTAGCATTAAATAATGTTAAATATATATTTCTTATTAAAAGTTAATTAATTTAAATTAATATTATAATTATATTAATGTTTTTAAATTAATAAAATTAATTATAAATAAGGATTTAAATATAATTAATATTAATTAATGCTAAATTTAATTAAATTATTTATATTAAATAAGTATTAAGGCTTATTAAAGTTGGCTAAAGTTAGGAAAATCCGCTACTTCTTAATATTTATTACTTCTTAATAAACTATGTTATAAGGTTTATATTATTAAATAAATATTTAAATAATTAATTAAAAATAATATAAGCAGAATATATAAATATTAAATAATATTTATATAATAATCTTAATATAAATTATAGTAAAATATTTAAATTATATTTTTTAGCTATTAAAATAAAATATTTCTTATTATTATTAAGATAACAATATTTATAATAAGGAATGTGTTAAAAGGTGCAAGGGTTATATGCCTATATATTAGCGCTAGCCTATAAATAGGCTCCTTTTAAGCGTTTAATAGCGGGGAGATTTCTCTCCTCAACACACAACAATCAACTATCGTTTACTTCATTGCTTCATCAATACCTACCTAGGTATCTGGGTTCCTGGTTCTTTGTCCCTCACAAACGAGCTCCCCTGGCCCGTTTCTCCCATGCCATGCATGCAGCAGGTCCATACATGCATCATCCACATGCTTTGGCCATCTCGACAGCATCTTGGTAGTGATGGACTCTGCGCGTTGTCAATGACACGATTTTGTGGCTGAGGAGTAAATGTATGTCTTGCGTTGGGCCGTATTTACCGAGCCTTCTGCTGCTCAAAAAGAAGCATCTAACAATTTCATTTGCTTCTGTCTATGAATCGTGTTAATCCTTTCTCTTCATTCTCTAGCTCTGTCTTCAGAGACGGCCGTGGGAGCTCAAATGTGTCTCGTACCCGGCCGTAGGAAATGCCCCCAAGCTGCACCACAGGTCGCAAAGCACCGACGTCCACATTATCCCGAGCCTCATTCAATGCGTCCTCTTGCACCCAAAACCTCTTGGCTTCAATTATAGACAGAGCCCCGGTAGGCTTTCCTTGCGCGGCATGACCCTGGTAATCAAGGCTTTTCATCTCGAGAAGCGTTCCTTCGATGGAGAAAACGGCCTCCTGGACTCGTTTCGGGCGGGACAGTCGCCGAGTCCTTGGGCGTCAGGCCGGACAGCCCCCATTCCGAGGTCTTGTATGGGACGTCGAGCGATGTGGCGTTGGCGGCCTCGACGAAATGCTCGGACAAGATATTGATAACACACTCGCCTGTCTCTTCCAGGTTCTTCCGTGTATCCTTAGGCCTGTCAGGTCGTGCGGAAAAGCCGATCACAAGAATGACTGGGTCATGGTCGACGACTTGGAAGTAACTGAACGGTGCGAGGTTCGGCGTGCCGTCCTGCGCGAGCGTGCTGACGAAGCTCACAGGCCGTGGGATTGCAGAGACGAGAAGCTTGTAGTTCGAGATCATGGGCCGGCCCTCTTGGTTCGGGTCAAGCTCGATGTGCGATTTCTCCTTTTCCCAGAGCCTCGGTCCGAAATGGCTCAGCGCGGCTCACCCCACAGACATCTGAGAGCACTGCAGCTGGTTCAGATGGACTTTTTATAACTCGAAGGCTCACCGTATCATTAGTTGACCATTACTTATCTTTTGCCTGCACCTTTCCCCCCCTCCCTCGCAACTTAGCAAGCATTGCCACTACGAACTTCTGTAGGTGTTAGTTATTGCCTGCGATTTGATATATCTGTAGACCCCAAAGATCCGATCCTGATTTATATTTTCTAGATTCGGCCTGTCATGTTATTGACTTAAGTCTTATATTCAACTTTCAAGCCGACTTGCAATCGACCGCAGACCCCATGGGCAGTTTCGAGGAAGGCGGCGTCTCGAAAGCTTCTGGGATGTACAACACGCTGGACGGGCGCCTGAACAACCACGGGCAAGGGGGCTTACGGTCTTGGTTCCCATTCCCACCCTTCAGGAACTCAAGATACGCGCCAGTACAGGACGCCGATGGGAACACAGACAATGGAACAACGCTGGAAATGGAACTCAGGATCAAGGACACCACAATAAGAAGGTGGCAGTGCTTGGATATCGCCATACTGCGCGGCTAATTTTGAACCCGCGAGGGAAGCCGTCTTGGAGGCACTAGGCGGTGATGAAACAGAGTTCGTCTTTTACAGAGATGAGAACGGCAAGCCCGGGGAAGAGATATCTGAGGAGGAGCTAGGTGAGCTCGACCTTCTGACGCCAGCATGGACAACTATGTCACATCATGCGACACATTGCATGTACTTGCTCCTTCAGGCAGCGGCAGCGTTGAACCTCGGAACCAAGGCGGAGAGGGCTGTGCATGTGTGGCAGCACGCCGGGCATTGTGCCAGCGTCATAATGAACCTCACAAAGACCGCGCCGGGATGAGACGACGTCGTAAGTTTCGGGCATACTTAGTCCGCCGTATGTTGGTAGCCAGGCTTTGCGTGCTGGTCCGGTGTTCAACGGCGAAACAGCATATAATTGGAAGCACTAAGTTCTTGATGTACAACTAGGGGTTCTCTTCGCGGGCAGGTGTAACATTTGGTCCAAGAATTGTACTGTTATCAATAGGTCGGAACGATCTCGCCGCGATCTGTGATCTGAGTTGTGTACCAAGTACAATAGTCCCCGGACGTGGGGAGAGTGGGTCCCGCAGAAGCCCTCACCAGTGCGTTCTTTACGCCGAAGCGACCTTGATCACTGTCTTTCCCAACCCTCCTTCCCCATTGTACACTGTTCCACATGCCTCCTTCAGACCCCCAATATCCTTCAGGTCGACTGTGCACCCGACTACTGGCATGACATCTCCGTGCTCCGCATGTGTAGCCAGTATGTACAGATCCTTCGCGTTCGGATGCTACGCCCCAACTTCCAGCGCGTGACCTGCGATATTTGTCGAACGCATTCAAGGCCAAGTGTCCAAACCACGGTAGCCGTGGATTATCGGGTCTCTTCATCACGCTGGATTGCTGAAGTTGAGTGCCAGATGGCTGCGTCGCGATAGAGACTATGAGGCTGTCTGATGAGACCATGAGAGGGAGGTAAGACATGGCTTCCCCAGTTGTGTCCAACACAAAGTGAATGGACCTGTTTGCGATGACCTCTAACGGATCTTGTTCGGTGTAATCAATTACTGGAGATTTCGGTTACACACTAGCAAGAACATCAAAAGAAAACACTTGGTTACAAGGAACATACCGAGATCGACTGTCCCTTGTCCCAGTAGCTTTGGTACTTGATCTATTTTTGACGTTGACACCGTGGTGATGACCTTGCCCGCACGGAAGACTTTTTTTGCTAATTAGCTGGCAAGCGTATGCTCCCGTGCCACTCACTTTTAGAGGTTGTTAGTGAATCCTCATGAAAGGCCCCAGTCGATGATACTTGCGGCCAGCTGGAATGAACACCGTTTTGCCTGATAATGATCCTTGATATCGACTCAATGCTTGCAAGGCGGTCATGCCGGCCAACGGCAGTGATGCAGCATCCTCGAATGAGAGGTTTTTAGGTTTCAGTGCGACGAAACGTTGGGGGCATTTAGCATATTCGCTCCATGCTCCTGAACAGACAATGTATCAATACCGAGATTCTAAGCCAACACACTCAAAGTGGATGTTTACCTCGGTTGGCTTCTGGTAGCCGAGCATATACTTCGTCGCCTACTTTGATGCTACTCACATCCTGGCCAACCTGTGTTACGACCCCCGCGCAATCGTAGCCAATCTGGTAAGGGAAGCTGCAATTGAAATAGCTGAGCTCATGAAGCTTGCGAAATAGCCTCAGGGTAAGAATTCTGCACGAACCTCTCCTTTACTGCAAATCTGAATACCCCTGCCGCTTTCTTCACGTCAACAGGATTGATGCTTGCGGCACAGACCCGAAACAGGACGTCCGTAGGCTCGGAGACAGCGGGCCGAGGGAGTGTGGAGAGCTGGTACCCTGAAGGATCGACATGACTGGGTGCTGTGATTGCTAACATTGATGAGGCCATTTTTGCATTTGAACACAAGCCAAGATTCACTTTGTAAGATAGAGGGTTTGTAGGCAATTATATCAGACACAGTCTTTTGGAATTCCAGTCATTGAATTCCGCTAGTAAATTGCAACCGGAGCAATAATCGAGCCGGGCCGGAAGAGGAGCGGAAGCGGGAACGAAACCTCCCGATCGTGACTTTTCGCTTGTGACGCAGAGGGGACTCTATTTATCAAAACCGTTTTATCCACCTCTAACTGAGACTCAAGTCACACATTGGGGAAGCCAGCCCCGCGGTCTGGGTATATTTTTGTGTCTCCCGAAGCGCCTGAGCACCATTGCCATGTTGAACCACAGCATCGCCCAGCGAAGTCTTGGAAATTTACGTCGCCGTGCACAAACCCCCTCTGTGTTGTAAGTAGCGACGGTGATAAGAGAGAGACGCGTTTATGCAGACAGACAACAAGCCTCTTCCAAAGTAAAATATCCTACACGATCAGCAGTGCCCAAGTTGCAACAGCCCATCCGTCAGAGCGGACTGGACATTATTGATCTACAATGAAATCTGTTAGCCATGCCATACATCATTGAAAGGGCTCAAAGAGTGCACTTACCAATGGCGGCGACATAATAGAGAAGTGATTCCCAGGTATGCACCTGGCCGTCACCCCCCTCCGCGTCAGCTTGTCCCACCCAGCAGCACCAAAGTCCTTCCTCTTCCCCAGAAGCCAGTCCCTAGCCTCCCCGGCGATCTCATCACCGCTCATCACCGCATCCCGCTTGGCCTGGTCGACAACGCCCTCGAGCACGCTGTCCTTGGCCCAGACGGCAACCACCTTCCCCAGCGCCGCCGAGGCCGGTATCTCCTGCGGGGTGTAGTGCTCCAGGGCGCGGACGCTGGCCAGGAAGTGTCTTCTCGTCGACGCCGAGACGTTGCTCTTGCCGTCGATGCCAGAGAAGAGACCCGCCTTGTCGAGGACGTCAAGCGTCGGCGCCGGCAGGGGCGGCAAAGTCCGGGGACAGGGGCTGTCGACCAGCCCCAGCATGTCGACTACCTCGCCGGCCGCCAGGAGCTGCCGCGCCGCCTCGTAGGCGAGGATCCCGCCCATGGACCACCCGGCGATCATGTACGGCCCAGTGGGCTGCAGGCTGTGGACGGTGCGGAGCATGATGGCCGCGACCTCCGGCAGGCTCAGGTCGTAGGCGTCCGGGTCCGAGATGAACGGCGAGAAGAGCGCGTACACGGGGAGGGACGATGTCGTCGTCACCGGGGGCAGGTTAATGTAGGACAGGGCGGAACCGGAGCCGTCTGGGAGGAGGAACAGAGCCTGACCGTCAGGACGTGGTGTGCCTTGGATCAGGATTGGCTTGCTTTCATACCGTGATTCCGCCGTCCCGGGCGCTTGGCCCTTGTACAGTGACAGTGGCTCCTTCTGGGGCCCAGGGCTGTGCTCGAAGCCTTCTGATGCAACCGGCGCCAGAGGAGACTGTTTCGCAGAGTTCAGGGTCCCGTCGACGTCGTTGGGAGTTGGATGATCGTTGAAGAATGACGACGGGAGGTTGATTCCTCCTTCTTGCCTGAACATCGCCAAGACAGTGATTGTGAGCAACGAGTCCAGGCCCAGCTCGGAGAACTTTGTCCAGGGTGAGATCTCAGCACGGCTGACGCCCACCTCTCTTGCTATGATCGAAATGAGGAGCTCAGCAGAGTCCGAGGCGCCACTGCTCCTACTGCCGACGTCAATTGCACTGTCGGCCTCGGATAACATGGAGCTTGAGGAGACAGAAGTCGACGTCCTGAGCCTGCTGACAGCCGCGGGGAGGAACGACCTGGATCGTGCCCTGCTCGAGCACGAAGTGTCCCTCGGTCTGCAAGGTCGCGCTTCGGGCTCGACGGGGCTCTTAGCCTCGACCTGCTGGCTCTGGAAGTAGACCTTCAGGTCCCCGACTGTTGGGAACCGAGTGAACAAGGAGCTAGCAAAGTCCATGCCGGTAAGCTTTCTGAGTTCCTCGAGGATCGTGATGGTAAGCAGCGAGTCGATTCCGAGGTTCGACCACTCTGTCGATGCATCAGCAACATCACTCGCCTCTAGTCCTGCAGCCTCTGTGATTACTCCAAGAACATCCACGAAGCCAACATGAGACTTGTGAGTCTCGAGGGCGGGGAATGGAGTTGTGCCCAAGGAGCGAGCTGTGTTGACCCGGCTCAATGGTGCGGCTGATGGCGACCTGGATAGAGTTGGCGGAGTTGGTGGCGCCGAGGGCGACAGCTTGCTGGGTAAGGCATGGCCAAGCAGGTTGTAAAGCAGCGGCCTTCTCATTTGCTTGAACTTGAGGCCCATGCATAACGCAACCACAGTGTTGCCACTGTAGACATACACATCGCCGGACCAAACACCCGGCTGTGCCTCCGAGGGTTGCATGCAGACGTAGCAGGCGTAGTTCTCCTGGTCAGACAGTCGGCGCAAGATGCGCATGCTCTGCCAGCCATGGGAGATGTATACATCGTCTTGTCCGGAGGGTGGGTTGACATTAAGCGAGAAGCCTCCAAGCTGGGCCAGCGAGTCGATCCAGAATGGGTTGTGAACAAAGTTCTCCGGTTCAGCCGGTGTGTCGAAGCAAAGTCGGGCGCACGACTCTGGGCGGTCGGAGCTCAGTAGGAGGTCCTCCATGCCAAAATAACGTGGTGAATAGTCAACCACTGTCTTGAAAAGCTTGTACACCATCTTCTTCTTCAGCTTGTGCACATCGCCCTCTGGCTCCTTGCGGCGGAGCATCTCGGCTCGGTCCTGGATCAGGTAGAGATTCTTGTTGGCCTCGGAGAAAGCGACAGCCTTGGTGGTGAGGTGAACAACACAACATGCGTTCTGACGATATGTCTCCTCGTCGTCGTGTGAGGTGCTGAAAACAAGCTCAACGGGACTGGATGGGGAGTGCTGCGTGGCTGTGACCATCAAGACTTGTCGCTGGTCGGCATCGGTTGACACAGCGCAGGGGCTGAATATTTCCATATCTGATAGGTCCATCGGAGGAACCTCATCGGCACCGAGTGCAGAATCACGCCTCTGGAAGATGTACAGAGCACACGAGAACGCCATCGAAGCGTAGACTGAACTGGGGCAGAGGCTTATGCCTCCCACGGCGTGACCATGCACCATACCAGCAAGCTCGGGCCGATTCAAGTCGCTGATGAACTTGACTGATGCTTCCGAAGCACCGAAATTTTCTTCCTCGATCTCTTGCCAGCACGGTGACGAAAACTGGGGTGCTGGCTTGGAAGCAACAGTCTCCACGGCAGAAGCTGCGCGGTCTTTGCGGCTGGTGTAGTCGAGCCAGTAGTTCTTCAAGTCGAAAGCATAATGCGGAAGCCCGACGACAGACAAGCCGTTCTTGTAGTCACGGTGGAAATCGGCCCAATTGATGTCGATACCTCGGGAGTAAAGAGTAGCCAGAGTGGACGAAATCCCCTCCCAGATTCCCTTCTTGCTGTCCAGCGTGGATAGTGAATTGGCTGAGGCGGTACCAAGGGACTGCCTCACCAGAGACACGCATGTGGACCCAGGGCCCATCTCCAGCCAAACGGTGTTTTGGTCCACCTTTTGTGCGGTCTGGCATGCAGCCACCGCTTGTGAAAACAGGACCGGCTCCCTAGCTTGCCGCGAAAGATAGGACGAGTTGAAAGTGCCGTCCTCCTCGACGATACACCCGAGGCGACTCGACGCAACGGGTATTCTTGGCTTCACAAAGTTGACACCAGCCGAACTTTTCTCGTACGCATCCAGGATAGGGTCCAGTTGTGCAGAGTGAAAGGCGTAGGGGACATCCAAAAAGACAGCTGTGACACCTGCAGCCTGCTGCTGTTTCATGAACACCTGCAGGTCCTCTTCCAACCCAGCAACAACAGTGGCCGTCGGCCCATTGACGCAAGTGATCTCGAGCGATGCCAGCCCGGTCGTCTCCTGGGCCGCTCTAACGTCCTCCGCCGACATCCGCAACGAGAGCATCTTGTGGGTGCCGCGAGAGCACAACTCCTGCATGAGCGACGCCCTCTTGGCAACGAGGAAGACGACGTCTGCAGCAGAAACGACACCGGCCGCGTACAGCGCCGCGTACTCGCCAAGGCTGTGGCCGGTAACGAGGCTCGGCTCAACCCCCCATGACTTCCAGAGTCGCACCATTGCGACCTCTAGGAGGGCCATGCAGAGCTGGCTTTCCAGCGGCGAGGGGTCCGAGGCGGATGGCTCTCCCAGGAGCGGTGGGAGGATTGAGGGGAGGCCCTGAGCCTCGCACAATGAGTCTAGCTCGCCAGTTATGCGCCGGAATGACGCGGAGCTGTCGTATAGAACCTTTGCGGTACCGACGATGCTGCTGCCTTGGCCTGGGAAGGCGAAAACAAGGGATGGTGGCTTTTGGGCCACCGAATGAGATTCGTCCCACTCTGCGCAGTCTTTTTCAAGCTCGGTGGCCAATTCCGCCGCGGACTTGACCGCATATGCCTTTCTCATAGGATGATGCAGTCTTCTGGCGGTGGTCGTATATGCAACATCTGCCAAAGAAACAGAGGAAGTGGATGCTAACATAAAGTCCCGGAGCCGTTCCATATTTCCCCGGAGCGAAGCGAGCGTCTTTGCAGACACCGTGACCACATGTGTGGTACGTGGATCTGCGACATGCTCGAATGGGCTTCCACCTGCAATCAAGGCTGCGTCCTCGAGAACGATGCTGGTGTTCCCACCAGCGGCGCTGAAGTTGTTGATCATGACCTTCCTGGTCTTCCCATCTTGCCGCCGGAATGGAGCGTGTGTCGCAATGCGGTATTTGTCCGCAAATGGAGGCAACTTTGGGTTGATCTCGCCCTTGATGCCGACGTGTGGCAGGAACGTGTCGCGCTGAAGCATCATGACGCTCTTGATCAGAGACGATACCCCCGCTGCGGCCTCTCCGTGGCCAATGTTGGGCTTTATCGAGCCAATCACTAGTGGTCGCGCGCGTGGTGTCTTGCAAAGCGCATTGTAGACAGACGTAGACTCGGCACCATCTCCAGCTTGGGTGCCTGTGCCATGGCATTCCACGTAATCGACCTCGGCAGGCTCAAGCCCTCCCTGAGAAAGCACATCCCGGTACAACCTCTCCTGGGTCTCAACGTGTGGATGCGTGATGGACACGGCCTGGGCCGAGTGGTTTGTTGCGGAAGATCTGATGACAGCAAGAATGGGGTCACGGTTCGCCACGGCGTCTGGGAGGCGCTTTAGCACGACGACCCCGACACCCTCTCCTCGGCAATACCCATCGGCACTGCTGTCGAAGGTCTTGCAAGACCCCGTCTTTGAGAGGAAGCTACCCCTGCTCAGGCCCTCGTACATGTTGCACCCGGTCAGGATGTTCGACCCGCCCGCAACAGCCATGTTGGACTCGCCCGAGCGCAGCGAGTTGCACGCGAGCTGGATGGCGAGCAGGCTGGAGGAGCAGGCGCTGTCCACGCTGTAGGACGGGCCGTCCCACTTGAAGTGATAGTTGACCCGGCCGGCACTGAAGGCCCGGATGCCGCCTGTGACATAGTACATGTCGACGTTCTCGGCGGCGTTATACTCCTTCCAGTCATCGATGGTCTGGCCGAAGAAAGTGCCGACTTTCGTGTCCCTTTCTTCCTCACGCGGGGCCTGCGTGTAGCCGGCCATCTCGAGAGCCTCGTAGGTCGACATGAGCAACAGCCTCTGACCAGGGTCGGTGGAGGCTGCCTCACGAGGTGACATGTTGAATAAGCGGGCATCGAACATCCCTGGCCTGTCGATGAAGCACCCATATGGGGAGATTGATGACATATCTGAAGCATCTCCGTTGTGCGCTTTGATGTCGAAGCGATCGCTGGGTATCTGGCGACAGAGGTCCACACCTTCCTCAAGAACTGCCCAGAACTCGTCAAGAGACTCGGCACCAGGGAACCTGCCGGACATGCCAACGATTGCAACGCCTTCAAATGAGGACTGAGCCTCGTTCGAAAATTTCTCTGGAGATTGAGAAGTAGAAGGAGACTTGAGCAGGTTGTTGTGGGTTGCTCCAAGATGGGACTCGAGGCGCCGGTGCAGGCCAGCTGCTATTATTGGCACAAGTTGAATGGACTGCGCATCGTTCAATGCTTTCCGGCATGCCTCAAGCAGCTGGCTCTCTTGTATCCTGTTCTGGAAAACATCATCGATTATCTGTGGGAGAAGGTCGTGAAATACCCGTCCCTGCATAGGCTGGCCAGAGCTTGAAGAGAGTAAAGGGGCCCTTATTTTCAGGCTTGAATCTGTGCTGTTGGCATTGGTGTGCAATGGCTCGCCTTGCGAGACTATGTTGGGGAGATGCTCTCCGTGGAAAGGAGCGGCGATTTGAAGAGGAATGACGGGATGCTGACGCCCTCGATTTTGAAATGCTTGCGATGAGAAGAGAAGGTTTAATGTTGATGGAGGACCGCTGACTGTGCATGACGTCGAAGTCACAGCGCTGATGTACGCAGCTTTTAATGGTGGAATATTCTATACAGGATGATGTTCAGTTGCTTTCTTCTGAATACGAAATGTAGGCGATGCAAGTGGAGAGACTTACACTGCTCGAGCTGAACTGGCTCAAGACATCGCCCACTTCTTTTTCTGTGAGACCGCTAACAACTCTTGCCCAGCTTGCATCGCTTGTCTCTATGGTTTCTGCCCGCTTGTAGGCTTCGATCCCCAGTCTGACTGCGAGGTTGATCGTTTCAGGAGAAAGCTGAAGGACTTGAACCAAGGAATGTGAACAAGCTGCCACGGCAGCGGGTAGGAGACCGGTACACCATCCCACCGAAATGGAGTTTTGGAGGCATTCTGGGTCGTCTTCGAGTTTCCTGTTTCCATATGATTAGTTGATGAGTCATGTCCTCTGAAGCTCCATGTACATACAATACGAGATGGCCCAGCTGTGCAACGCACAAAAGGAGTGTTTGCACGACGACGTCCGGACATTGCCTCTGTGTAGACTCCTCTGCCAATGTCAAGAACGAGTCGAAATAAAATTTGTTCTTCTCAAGGCCGCTGCAGAGCTGCTCCAGACTTCGGCGCGCTGCGTCAATGGAAAATCTGAGAAAATGCTGAATGTATATAGAAGATGGAGCGCGCTTGTATAATGATTGTATGGCTGGGAGCACGCTCTCGGTTTGGTCCCCGAAGAGGATAATACGTTGGGGCTGGATTGGAAGTTCCATGGTCATGTCAGGAACACTTGGCCGATGGTGTCTTCTGATGATGCTGTTCTCCTTCCATCTACAAAGGGACTGCACTTGATAGATATGTTGTGAACGACGTGATGTTTTCCCTGGGCAACCACAAGCACAGGACATGGGTTAGCTAGTGTGCGCGCTCGAAAGCGGGTACGGGCACAGGACATGGGCTGGTTCGAGATGAGGCTGTGAGACTTGGAGCCTTGCGGTCAATCGCCGTGTGGTTTAGGGACCCCTGGTCAAAGGCCGTTGGCATCCTATTTCTTGCAGTCTGGCAGACATGATACTGGTTTCAATGTTGGGATGAAATGGTCTTGGGAGCACCGTGTCAGAAAACGGTCCAATAGTGGAGCCCCAATTCTTACCCACGACCTATATCAAAATGGCTAGATTTCATATAGCGATCTGATGAACCTTGCGTTTATGCTGCGATCTTATTCGGGCATTTCTATTCAGAATAACATGGCAGGTGAAGACTGGAATTCCCTTGTTAAGAGCCGATCTGACCCTTCAATTTCGGAAGTTTGTACTCATGAGTTACTTGCCTCTTGATGCCGATTTGATTCAGATCTTGAAAGCTTGAGTCTGAAATCCCAAGGTTGGCCCCCGGTAGCAGGCAGATGTGTGTCGACCGCCCCCACGGCCGACCAAGTGTGAAGCAATCAAGTCATCCAATCTTCGCCCGACTAATGTCGTCTCAAACTCTGCTTGACAGATGTTAGATGCTCGTTCGGTCGGTGTCATCTTATTTATGCTTGCCAAGCCTTCTTCGGACTTTCAAGTATCAGCAGGGTTGTCGCCGTTTTCTGTGGCGGGAACAATGATTCAGTGCTCAGGTACGAAAACGACACTACTGGACTTACAGTAGCTCGGCCGAAACCCGTCGAGGTCCAACCCCAAGCAGGCACATGGGCGCCGGCCAAGCATCGGTGGCATCCGCTGATGCTACGGAACGGCCGAAAAGGGGCTGCGCGGGAAGATCCACCTTGACTAGCTCCAGATGTCTCGGGGAGAATTATTTAGCATGGCGTGCAGGGTAGGATTATCGAAGACATGGACCGTTAAGCTTAAGTCGTCTCAAAACAAAAGACGAAACGACTGGGCGGGTTCCTCCGGACGGGACTCCTCTGAGTTAGGAAATTCGGCGCTCGTGATCACCAGCATCGCGGATCACAATCGGTCATGATGCAACAAGAACCTCCACAGCCGGCTCTGATTATAGAGACATGAAGCTTGATGCTGTGTTTTTTCGTCTAGGACTGCCTTCTCAAGTCCACAGGCAGGTTTTCCCAACGCATTGCGATCCTCTCCCTTCCACGTTCTCTCAGCCCAACCCCGTCGATCAGGATCTTCCCCTCTGATCAACATCCTAGTATTGTGCACCAAAGATGCAGACCGTGAGTCCCCACTGTTCTGTAGTTGGGTAATTAATTTTACTAATGGTGCATACTTGCAGGTTATCATTGTGGGCGCAGGCCCGTCTGGCCTACTGCTGGCCTTGTATCTGTCACGGGCGGGCATCAATGTCCGAGTGCTCGAGGCTGCCACCGAACCAGACAAACAGCCACGAGCAACTCACTACGGCCCGGCTGGCGTACATGAGCTACGCAGGTCTGGTATTCTAGATGCAATGAAAGAGAAGGGCAGCTTCTCCCCGAAGAGCGTATCATGGCGTGCATCTGATGGATCATTGCTTGCTGCACTGCCTAAGCCCCCTCCCCCACCTGCCTCCAATGGCACCACGGCACCGCCGGACGGAGTTGTGAGCCTTCCACTCAACCTCGTGGTCGAGATCCTCCTGGAGGCTGTTGGCGCGCAGCCGACCGCTCAGGTGGAATTTGGCTGTCGAGTTGTCGACGTCGGCCAGGATCCTGAAGGTAACCTTGCATGGGTCGATGTCGCGAGAGACGGCGAAGGAGAAAAGCCATCTAGTATTCAGGCATCCTATATTGTTGGATGTGACGGTGCCAGCAGCTCAGTACGCGGGTCATTGTTCGGCAGGTCTTTCCCAGGCTACACGTGGGACACTTGGCTCGTCGCCGTGAATGTCCGCTTTCACGACGTCGAGAAGTATGAGGCGACTTTCTCTGATGTTAACTTTCTCATCCATCCCACCAACTGGTGTATGGTAGCCCGTATTGGTGGGCCTGGGAATCTGTTTAGAGTCACCTACGGCGAACCAGGAGATATGCCGAAAGAAGCCTGCGCCGCCCCAGGGAGGGCTGTCGAACGGCTGCAGGCCATCCTCCCCGCTCACTTGTCAGACCCGTCCCAGTTTGAGGTCGTGTCGTCAAGCCCCTACCGCGTTCATCAGCGCTGCGCACCGAGTTTCCGCGTCGGGCGTATTTTGCTTGCGGCGGACGCCGCTCATTTGTGCAACCCCATGGGCGGAATGGGGCTCACCAACGGGATGGTAGATGTCGGTGGCCTGGCAGACTGCTTGATCGGCATACACCGTGGAGTTGCGAGTGAGGACATACTTGACAAGTATGACTCTGTTCGCAGGGGCATATTCCAGGATGTTGTCGACGGCATCACTACCGCGAATCTCAAGCGGATCATGCAAGATTCAAGTCAGGCGCTTGAGACTGACCCATTCCTCCAAGCCTGTCGTGAAGCGGCACAGAGCCCTGAAAAGGCAGCCACGCTGGCGAACGTTATGAGGGTGAGTGAATGCTTCCTCTCTCTTGACATTCAATGTTAGTGACGAGCTAATGTAATGGTTCATGTTAGGCCCCAGCAAAGTTGAAGCACGATTTCACTCAGTACTACTTTTCTGGCGATCAGGCTGATTCTCAAAGCCACGGCCTTGTAACACCGTCTGTAGATAATTCTGCGGCTACCATAACTTGAACTTGAACCAGCGTAGCAATCAAATAAAAGTGTCTCATACCACTATCCTACAATTGTCTGAACCTCCAGTATTCAATTTCGTCAGACTTGTTACCTAGCTGCCCGAGCTCAGCCCAAGAAACTTGAACCTGAATTCCAAAATCATCGAAGCAACCCGCCAAGCTAGGGATCCATGGATGACAGACCAAAATTGTAGCCTTGTGGTCGGCAGTGAGACAATCACACCCTACCTAGGCGCCGTCGGCCGTGGGGCGTGATCATCTAGGCATACCGCGGTCCAGGTTCAACGATATAATCCCAAATCCCACAATATAGCCAAAGCCCGTGGTTTGCAAACCACAATTGTTAGTTGTCCGTAGATCTTAGCTTGAAACCCTGGTCTCAAGTGCGGCACAGATTGTTCGTGATCGCCATGTTTCAATACGCCCCATGTCCTGTCAAGAGCCGCATGACTGACCAAGGGTCACCATGCCTCGCCCGGCCGTTGACTTATAACCAACCACCCCTGGCGGCGTCGGCGCTCCCCTAACAGCCCATGGAGACAGCCTTACCGGCCCCCAGCCTCCTGCGAGTCAAGTGCTCATAGCATCCGCCTTGGACCTCATCGAGGGCGGACGGCCCTTTTTGCCAAGTCTGTCTGGTTCCTCGGCGACAGGAACCGCAATTCCTCGAGTTCCGCGATCTGGTACAGAGTGGTTCACATCTTGGCCCTTTGAACGTTGACTGTCCCTGAATCAAGGCACTCTTTCAATTTTTCCTGCTGCGTTCAGGTTTGCTATGCATTCTCAATGGCCGATGACCAGCCCACTCGCGTATCGCACTGGCGGCTCGTCCGTGAGCCAGCGCTGGTCACTCGCGAGATGGTCACTCACGACTGGAAGGGTGAAGGGACTGTCGATGACCCTTACCTTATAGACTTTATCCCCAATGATCCGAGAAATCCAGTAAGTAATCCAATGCAGATTTGATCTTTTCTCTTTTGCGGCTGTTGCCCCTGAAGACTGCGTCTACGCACGAGATCATCAAATGTCACAACACATCGCCGATCACCTCCAGCATAACCATCCGACTCCCTACAGTACCAAACACAATCTGCTAACGAAACCCCAGGTCAACATGCCCACGGCCATGCGCTGGCTCGTCGCGGCCCTAAACGCCTTCGCAACCCTCGCAATGACCTTCGCCTCCTCCGCCTACACGAGCAGCGTGTCGAACCTCGAGCGCGAGCTCGCCGTCAGCAGCGAGACCGCCTTCCTGGGGACGTCCCTCTTCGTGCTGGGCTTCGCCCTCGGCCCGCTGGTGTGGGCCCCCCTGAGCGAGGCCTTCGGCCGCCGGCCCGTCTTCCTGGCCACGTACGGCGCCTTTGTCGCGTGCAACGTCGTCGCGGCGCTGCCGGACAACATCCTTGTGATTGTCGTGTTCCGCGCCCTCGCTGGCGCGCTCGGGTCCTCGGCGCTGGTCAACTCGGGCACTGTCGTGGCGGACATGTTCTCGCTTGCGGACAGGGGCCGTGTCAGTGCTGTGTTCTCCGGGGCGCCGTTCCTGGGCCCCGTGCTTGGTCCTATTATTGGGGGGTTTCTGAGCCAGAGTTCCGGGTGGAAGGGCGTTGGCGTTCTCATTGCAGGTGCGACGGGTGCTCTGTGGATGTTGTACTACTTCCTCGTCCCGGAGACATATGCCCCTGTTCTCTTGCGGCTGCGGGCTGCCCTCCTCACGAGGACTGACCCGCGGGGAAAGGTCTTCCAGTCGCGCATGGACAAGGCCAAGGGGGTCAAGTCGACGGGAGAGCTCCTGCGTACTTCTATGGTCCGTCCCTTCTTGCTGCTTTTCTCGGAAACCATAGTCGGCATCCTGTCCCTTTACATGGCCATCATATTTGGTGCCATGTACATGATGTTCGCAGAGTTCCCAATCGTCTTCCAGCAGGGCTTCGGTTTATCACCTGGCTTCAGTGGTCTTGCCTTCCTCGGAATCGCAATCGGGATGGTCTTCGCCCTCATCTACATGCTCTTCCAGAACAAGGCATACATCAAGGTGGCCAAGGCCTCGCCCGGTGGCAGAGCGCCCCCTGAGACTCGACTTGGACCAGCACGCCTTGGTGCAGTCATGGCACCCATTGGGCTGGCCATCTTCGCAGTGACCAACTCTCCCGAGTTCTCATTCATCTTGCCCGTCGCAGGCACCGTCCCCTTCGGCTTCGGCATGGTCATCATATTCCTCAGCCTCCTCAACTACCTGGTCGACACATACACCGTCTACGCAGGCTCAGCCATCGCAGCAGCCACCGCGATCCGGTCTATATTCGGGGCTGTGTTCCCTCTATTCACGAGGGTCATGTTCGAAAAGCTCGGCGTCCACGCTGGCGCGGCCGTACCGGCGGCTCTGGCAGCAATTTGTGTCCCATTTCCCTTCCTCTTCATCAGGTACGGAAGGCAGATACGAGAGAAAGCAAAGTTCGCCACAGAGGCGAGAGCGCTGGCGCTCAAGATGATGGGGCAGCCCAAGGCTGAGGAAAAGAAGGCCCGGCCCTTTTCTGACGGCCATGGTCCTACGGGCAAGGAGGAGTGGCAGTGTTACGGGAGATATTGCCTTGGGTGCAGTGTAGACGATGAGAACTTGTTCACTTGTAGGAACGCAAGCTTGTACGAAGACAAAAAGAGTGGGAGCTTGTACGATGAGAAGATTTCAGACAAGTAGGAGAGGAACAACTGTACAATATGAAAATCATCAATCAACGTTTATACCATATTCGTCCTGATGCACCTTGTCTTGAATCCCAGCTTTCCTTGCGTATCACGAGTTGCTGAAGCCTTGCCATCGTCACAAGGCTGGATGATTACGAGCCGGCTATCCCAAAGCCTCCAAAGCCCAGTGCAGACCCACCTATGCTCTTTGCTATTGCAGTCAAATAGAAGTCGATAATTTCTGAAAATAGTCTCATAATGATCACGATATTACAGAATATTGAAACCTATTCTTCAACGTTGAAGTAGCCTGAGTGTCTACTCTAGGGTAGATGTAGTAGGGCCAATCTTGCTATAGCCTGCTGCTTGGCGACCCTTGTTAGCACTACCCTACCCGTCCCTCAATCTACATCTATAGCTGCTGATATAGGCTTGTCTAAAAACTGTTGTAGCTGAAATAGATGATTATATATACGAGCGGCTTGGCGAGAGAGTTACTGGTTAGGGGTCCAGACTATACTAAATTCTCTTGGGGATCACGCCCTAAGCCGATTCCCTCGTGCCAGGTTCAGCTTCCCGCCGTCCAGCTGCCCCAGATCGGCACAATGGTCTCCTTGAACGCCGGCGGCACGTGCGAGCAGGGCCCGATTCCCGGGCTAGGCGGTCTATTCAACACGGCGACCGAGTTCTTCCAAACATGGGCGAAGCACGCCAAATTCGAAACGACAAAAGGAGAAGCTACGAGAGGCGACAGGCCCATTCACCGACGAAGTCGTTCCCTCGGTCTCGTCGTCTCGCGGCTCTATCAGCCAGCTAGCCAGCAGGCCCTCTGTCCTCGACCGCGGCCCATTTCCCCTTTGCCGCGGCGACTTTGGCCACAACAATATCATCGTCGACGACACCGACCATATCATCGGCGTCACCGACCGGGAGACTGCCTTCGCGGGGCCCTGGGAGATATTTGCAGATTCTCCCCTTGACCCTGTCGACAGTCCCGCCTGCGATGGACCCCCCCCCCTGGAACTAGAACCAAGACGGCTCTCCCAAGGCCGCCGACCTCGCCCAGAAACTCGCGGACCAGGAGGATTGTGTGGAAGATGTAGCAGCGGGGGAGAATCGAGGCGGGGGAGGCCAACCATCGCCTGTCAGAAATGCTGAGGGACTCAAAGAGGCGGCAGTTGGCAACTGAAACGAGACTGTATGGGAATGGAAAGCCTGGATGGTACAACGAAATAATTCTTGACCTCGATTGACATGGACGGCTTCAATCAAAACCGCGTTACATGGTGGGGTGATGATGGCAAGATGGACGATACACCAGTGCGGCATTTGGTAGGCTAGTTGCTATGCCAGTCGCTAGGCCGGAGAAGCCATGGGTCGATGGTGCGGTTGTACAGGACAGTCACCACCAGTTTTGGCGGGAAGAGCGATGTCGACCAGTGTCATGAAGGACGCAGCACTAAGACCGCGGCCCCTTGACTAAAAGTAACTGCTTGCGGTTCCGGGCCCGGTCGAACGTGCCCGGTCGGTCCCTTACCAAGGCCCGGGGTCTGCCTTGGACGACCAAGCTTGGCGGGCCGAGTGGCCGCTAGGCAGGATGACAAGCTCTAGTGAGGGTCCAGCGCGGAGTCGAGCACATGCACAATTATCCAAGAATGTTTAAATTGCTACCTAGGTACGAAGGACAGACCACGCACCGAAACACACCAGTACACACCAACTCTTCGCTGACGTCTTGTGGACATTGCCAGTGGTCATATGCGTTCTTCAATGGTAAGCTTCTCCGACCCTTTCCCCGAATGTGGATGATCCCTCCAGAGCCGATGATGAGAAATTGTAACTTGAACTCGCTTTGACTGCCAACTCGAACCGAGGCTGTCCAGGGAGGTCGGTCCTGTCTTGCCTAGTGGGCGTCAGCAAAAGCTGACGACTTGTGGGCACCCGCTAAAGATGTTGAATAGTTCTAATCTTCGCTGAAACGCTCATATCTGTACACACAAACACCTTTCACCAGGGGCACCCACCTTGTTGCAGAGGAAAGGGATGTTGACCCTCAAAAACGCTCATCTTTGTACACACCGAACGCGCCGATGATGATGACCCGTGGGACGGAGGGCAACAAAGCTGAGGCAATGTCGTTGCGGCAAAGGGAAGCTTGAATAGGGCGAGACCGGGGGGGGGGCCAGCACTGACTTCAGCATCACCAAGTGGGAGATGAACAAGGGAAGGGGAAAATGGGGATGCGGATGCGGATAGGTTGCGCGGTGGGTCCGTTGGGCAAGTGTCCGGCTCGCGCAGGTGTCTGTCTCGACGGCAAGTGCTGACGGTGACGGTGTGCCGGGAGGAGGTCGCGGTGTGTGGATGCGGGTGTCTTGGGGGTTGCGATGATGGGAAGTTCGGCTTGGAGTTGAATGTTTTGAAGATGGGGATTGTGAAGTTGATGGTGTGTTGGTCTGGAAGAGAGAAGAGTAGAACCTGGGGAGATGGCACGGCGTCGTTCTGATCATCCATTCCTTAGAAGACTTTGTTATGATTGCAGTTTCCTCTTCCCTTTGTTTACCTGAATTCTTTGCACTTAAGAGAAGGCGCAGTTCTTCACTCGGAACTTCGCGGTTGTGGAAGCCCGCTCCAAGTGAGACCAGGATGATATCCATTTACTAAACTGGCGCTTTCCTCAGATATATTTGCTACGTTGAGCAGAGTAGGCACGGTCAGCATCCTCGGAAGACTAAGTGGTCCGAATACTGCCACTATTCTTCGGGCGATTTCATGACTCCATGGCCTCGTTGCATCTTGTGGCGTCTTTCTATTTTACGTACTATATAGGTTGTTTGGCACCAAGTCTACATTCAAGACTATCCACGCGAATATCATTCTGTCATGGCACAGCTAGAGTGACCCAGTAGTGGTCATGATACCTTGCATACGAACACAATACTTGGTGCCTAGGTAGGCACATGCCGCCGGACAGACAACGTCACTGAACTTCTCGATGAAACTTCCAGCTGGGAGCACCTGAGATACAACTTCCCACATAGAGGGACCATGGCAACATGAAAGTCAAGTGAAGGGTAGATAGGAAGGAGCGTTTGGATTCTTTCTGTCGTGGTCCTGCCCCAATAAGAAGGAGCCACAATGTCACCTGCCCAGAGGTAAATGAGCATGTGTCCGAGGAAAAAGTACCCAGGTATCAGTCCGGAGGAAACAATCCGGACTGCTGAATCTCCTTGTGCGCTCAGCAAATCCTGAATCACGGGTCCGCTTGATTCGGGCTCCATAGGTATCTAGTAGTGTCTTGATCAAATTGCTGATCAGGTACAGACTCTGCGTTTTAGCTTGCTTATTCTACGTTTGAATCCAGTTGCTGATGTCTCCGTTTTCCTGGTCACGATACCAATGCTCATCTCATCAAACAAGGCTTGCACTGTGATGCGTATAGGCAAGTCCCACGGTGACCACTTAACAGCTCCGTCAGACCCGCGTGCTGATCCCGTTATCTCTCACGTACCTTTGCCTTTCTCTGTAGATGTCCCGGGAATATGATGCTGCACAAGGAAATACAGCCCAGGACCTACGAGGCTGCCAGTGCGGCGCGCGGCAGACATGGCCAATCACGAAGGCGGCAGCGCGGACCGCGTCACAGGCATTATCTAGTGTACAGCGGAAAAGCCCAAGCAGTCGGGTTCTGCCTTTCGTGTAAAATACACGTTGATGTGTGCCGGTATTATTTTCTTGGCCGTATTGGTGGCCGGCGATTTCCTATAAATTGTTTTGAATTAATTCATTTATCCAGGCGTGGAGAGTGGAAATGCATGCACTACAAGGCGTTTCGCGTGCAGACATGGTATGGTGACGAAATTGACCTAAAATTCACGATTCCTCGAATCCAGTGCGTGATCGGGATTTGGGTTTGGTACTTAATGGACTGATTTTCGCGATGAGCGATTTTGACTTGGCATTGCTCAGAACCCGATTTCGATACCGAGCTGGGTTCGGGCCAGTCAAACCTTGACACACATCACAAAAACCCCCAAGACCCTTCACCACCCCTTGCCCTGCACCATGGCGGACTACAGCCTCTACCTGGTGACCGACTCCACACCCGCGATCCTTGGCGACAAGGACATCAGTGACGTCGTCGACCGCGCCATCCGCGGGGGCGTCACGGTGGTGCAGTACCGGGACAAGACCAGCGACACGGGCGCCCTGATCGCGACGGCGAGGAGGCTGCACGCCGTCACGAAAGCCCATGGCGTGCCGCTGCTCATCAACGACCGGGTCGACGTTGCGCTCGCTGTGGGCTGCGAGGGCGTGCACCTGGGCCAGGATGACATGGGTCGGTCCATCACCACCCCCGAGAAAGAAGACAACTTTTGGGGCCACCAGCTAAGACATGCATGCGTTCAGACATAAGCACGGCCAGGCAGCTGCTGGGGAGCGGCAAGATCATCGGCATCACGGCACACGGTCGCCGAGGCCCTCACGGCGTGCGAGCAGGGCGCCGACTACCTGGGCATAGGGACCGTCTTCTCCACCCAAACGCGCGTCACATCCCCGCCCACTTTTCCACTCAGGAGCACAGTAACATACTGACTTGTTACTATGCAGCAAGACAAACACCAAGAACGTCATCGGCCCAGAAGGTCTGCGGCACACCCTGGCCGTCCTCGCCGACAAGGGCTACGGCGGTGTGCCGGCCGTGTGCATCGGCGGCATCAACGCCTCCAACATCCCGCAGGTGCTGTTCCGCGGCAGCCCGCCCGAGAACCCCCTGGGCGGCGTCGCTGTAGTGAGCGCCATCATGGCCGCCGCGGACCCGGAGGCCGAGTCGCGGCGGCTGCTGGGGCTGGTCCGGGACGCTGGTGAGCGCAACACCCAACCGGGGGCGGGAACATTAGGGGCGGGGACCAAGGGGGAGCTGCTGAAGCTTGTGCCGGGGGCGATCAAGGCCGTGCACGAGCAGAAGCCGCTGTCGCACAACATGACGAACTTGGTATGGTCTTCTGGATGGTGGGCAGTACGAGATGGGGGGCTGACGTGCTATTACAGGTGGTCCAGAACTTCGCAGCGAACGTGGCTTTATCGGTCGGGGCCTCGCCCATCATGGCCAACTATGGCGAGGAAGCAGCAGACCTCGCCAAGCTGGGCGCCGCGCTGGTCATCAACATGGGAACGGTGACCCCGGAAGGGCTGCATAACTACAAGAAGGCGCTCAGGGCATACAACGCCGCAGGGCGACCGGTCATCTTCGACCCAGTGGGGTACGTGGGAACATGCCAGTCGCCCAACCGCTGCTCAATCTAGCCTTAACCATCACTGACATCTACGCACCACAGCGCCGGGGCAACCGCCGTCCGCAGGGCAGCAGTCAAGTCCATCCTCTCGGCAGGCTACATCGACGTGATCAAGGGCAACGAGAGCGAGATCAAGACCGTGTTCAACACCGGCAGCGGCACCAGCAGCGGAGACACGGAGAGCCAACGCGGCGTCGACAGCAGCAGCACGCTCTCGGACGCCGCGAAGTCCCGCCTCGTCCGGGACCTGGCCGCGCGCGAGCAGGCCGTCGTGGTGATGACGGGCAAGACGGACATCGTGTCCGACGGGGCCCGCGTGTTCGCCGTGCGCAACGGGCACGAATACCTCGGCATGATCACGGGCACGGGGTGCACGCTGGGGACGACCGTCTCGGCCATGGTGGCTGCCTGTCCTTCTGGTGGGGATAGGCTGGCTGCCGTGATCGCGGGCATCCTGCTGTTTGAGATCGCGGCTGAGCAGGCGGCCACCAAGGGAAGTGTTGAGGGCCCCGGGACGTTTGTGCCGGCGTTCTTGGACTCGCTTTATCGTCTCCGGACTGGCACTGCTGCGGGGGATCTTGGGTGGTTGTCTGCTGAGAAGGTTTCCAAGGTGGAGTGAGCTGCTCCATGCCCCACCCACTGTGACATTGGCAAGATCGGGGTCGGTTCTCGAGATCATCACTTGTCTCGCTGTGCTTGCGTATCGAATTGTCATTCTGAGGACGAAGGACAACGCCCTCGGTCAACGGCTGTCCTCGTGGATACCTCGGCAGTGGCAGGTGGACACCTCGTCCATGACCCAGATTTTTGTTAGATCCAATAGTGGAAGTCCTTGAGGACCATCTCCAGCCTCACCACACTGTAATCTTGCAGTTATATACTTTTAGGGTCACGAAGTGGATCATATCACATGCTGCTGACCTTTGAGCTTGACCTCAAGCTTCCGGTCCCCCGGGTCAGGCCCCTGGCCGCAGCTAGGGATCCCCCGGTAGTTGCGTCCGATCAGCGGCCTGACGTCTTGAGTGCTACCCCGCGGGGAAGCCTTCTTCCTTCATTTGCTCCGATTTTGGGCGACACTCGTCAACTCCTCTGGCGACCATATCGTAGGGCTTGCGCACGACATCCAGTGCTTCTTGACTGCAAATACTGTGCCTGGGATATGATCATTGTCTCTGCAACTACCCGAAGAATCGCGACGTCACAGCTCCCGAAAGGGTTCCGCGCCCCAACACCGTCCACCCGGCCTGCGATCCGACCCTTTTCCAAAATGGCAGAGAAGCCCGCCCCTCGGCGACGGATGAGTACGTCAATTGACCTACCCTCGGTCCAAGAAACATGGCTAATGTGCTCAATACTCACTCCGCAGACAATCCCGCCATCTTGTCAGTGGACCCCAGCCGAACCCGATGCGATCGTGCCATCGAACCGCCCTGACGAATGCCCTTCACAGTGTCTGCGACCTCCAAGAGAAGTTCCGCAACGCGATCTACGAATTCGACAAAGTGTAAGCACCTCTGCCAAAAAGCCAATCTGCACGCCTGCCAGGCAGTATCCTAACAGCGCCGCCCTCCCAGCGTCCTCACCACCCAAAAGGTCCTCCGAGCAGCCCAAGCCTTCGACATCCCAATCTACACCACCACACAGAACCGCGCGCGCCTCGGCGACACCGTCCCCGAGCTGCAGCCCTTCCTGGACGGCCCGCAGTGCAGGACGCACGCGGACAAGACCCTCTTCAGCATGTTCGTCCCGGCCGTGACGGAGCAGCTGGGCGCCGCCCCCGCGCAGATCGTGCTGGTCGGCATCGAGTCGCACATCTGCATCACGCAGACGGCGCTCGACGCCCGGCGCGCGGGCCACGCCGTCTACGTGCTCGCCGACGGGGTCAGCAGCTGCAACAGGGAGGAGGTGCCGCTCGCGCTGGCGCGCCTGCGGGCCGAGGGCGTCGTCGTCACCACCAGCGAGAGCTGGCTGTACGAGTTTGTGGGCGACGCGGGGCTGCCCGAGTTCAAGTCTGTTATTGGGATTGTCAAGGACACGTCGGCTGATACGAAGAAGGTCTTGCAGTCGCTGGCGCCTGTGCAGGGGGCGTCCAAGATTTAGGTAGGGGTGGTGTTCTTTCTCCTGCTCGTTCTAGAGGCGATACGGCAACATAGAGGGCGGGAGGTTCAAGTCTTAGATCAGTTTGCTTGTGTACAGGAGATTTGGGCTCGGCACATTACCGTGTTCGTTTTAAATGAAAAAAAGGTACGAGAAGGATCCATAAGTTTTAGCTCTCATCCGCTGCAAGCCGTTCTTTCCAAACGCCTGTCTTGCAGGGAAAGAAATGTGGATATTAGTTTCGGAACACCATACCACCTTTCAGTGTTTGTCCGAATAGCTTTCTGTCCTTCCTCGAACCCGTTTTCACCAGCATTCTGGTTTGTTGATAGCAACTTCGCAGAGCACCACCAGCCCGGGTTAAGCTCCTTGGTAACAAAAAGGGTAATTTTCGCCGTAGCGCGACGCCTGCAGACTGCCCACAATCGCCGCCCCGGCCGAGTCCGAGCCAACTCCGGCCCTCTCGGAAGAGTCACTCTTCCCCTCACGTTAGAGTTAACGCCAATTGCGCTGTTTGGACCCGAAGTGACCGGCCATAGTCGTACAAATAGCATAATCATTTACGGCAAAGACCGACCAGGCCAAGACACCTCGAACCACTGCATCACCTTACAACGCCAGTCCACATTTCAGCTGCTCTTTTTGACATCAACCGGCAACAAGATCGCAGCAGCCAATTGCAAGCCAGCCATTGACAGCAGCAACCATGGCCACCAACGAGACCCCAAACGGCACCTCCCAACCCCTGGCAGAGCCACTCATCACAGGCCTGCACCACATCAACCTGACAATCCCCCACGGGACCCTCGGCCAGGCCAAGTCCTTCTACGCCGCCACCCTGGGCCTGACCTCCCGCCCCGTGCCCGCCGCGCAGGCCCACGAGCTGGCCTGGTTCGACATCGGCGCCTCGGGCCAGCAGGTGCACATCTCGCTGCCGAAGCACGACCGCGACTCGATCCCCGGCGACGCCTCGCGCCACCCCTGCTTCCGCGTCGGCTCGCCCGAGGCCCTGCTCGCCCTGCAGGAGCGCGTCCACGCCCACTTCCTGCGCGGCGGCGACGATGCACCCGCCGCCGCGGACGCGCCTGGGGCCAGCTCTGGGGCGAAGGGGCCGGAGTACCCCAAGCGGTTCTTTGCTAGGGACTTTGCGGGGAATCGGCTGGAGTTTACTGTCTAGGCCGGCGGGAAGGGGCGGGATGGGTTTTTGCTAAGTTTTGGTCATATGAGGCTCGGGACGGATGTATTTGATGGGTGGATGCCGAGGTGGTTCAGCCTTAAGGTATGGGCATTATGCGACGATGACACAACCGATGACGACGGCAGGCCCCTTATCAGTTCGGATTGCATGTCTGGCTACATATCTAGTCCGGCAGATGGGAAATTAGCCCGCTCACAGCTTGTCGAGAGACTCTTAGGGAGTAATGACTCGCCGGGAATGGCAACGAGTCAATGGCCCTCGATGGCGATAAGCTCACGGCTGCCCCTATTGCAAGCACAAATATGAGGCATGCCAGATAAGAAGAACAAATCGTGTTCCCCAGATCGCCCTCTCCAAACATGCATGCCGAGGCGGGATCTATGACTAGCAATTTCATCATGCAGCCTTCCTGTAGCAAACAGGTTCAGGCCAACGTCACCTACTGCCAAAAGGACCTGGTACCACCGCTCCCGCCAGTGGTATTCGGACGGTAAGTCGTGACTGCTCACGAATGACGCCAAGGGGCAAGAGCACCATGGCATTGACATACATCTTACAGCGGACCAGCCAACCCTCCCGTACAGACTCCCAAGCAAGACTACCCGGTGCTGATCACAGATGTGACCGGCCACGAGGATGACTTCAATCTTCAGACTCAAGGCATTGAGTTCGTCCGTCATGAGAGTAGCCTGAAGGATGAGGAGTTCGATAACGAGGACCTCGTCAGGAAGACTTACTACCAAGAGATCTTAGACCTGACAAAACAAGTATTGGAGCAGAACCCCAAATTGTGAGTCTCCCTTGTGAAATATAAGCCACCACACGCCGAACTATTTAGCTGACATTATCCTTCTTGTACAAGTCCCAAGAACCCATCAATACACATCCTCCAGCACCTCCGCAGGAACAGCCCAGACAAGTTCCCCACCGGCCCAGTCCACGGCGTCCACGTAGACCAGCACCCGGCCGCGGCGGAAGGCTTCGCGCGGCGCTGGCTGGGCGACGAGGAGGCCGACGAGCTGCTGCGCACCCACCCCCGGTGGCAGATCATCAACGCCTGGCGGCCCATCCGCGAGGTCCAGCGCGACCCCCTCGCCGTGGCGGACGCGCGCTCCGTGCCCGACGACGACATCCTCAAGGTGCGGCTCGTGTACCCGGACCACGAGGTCGACATCCTCGAGGTGAAGGCGCCGCTGGACCCGGAGGGGGAAGGGACGCACCGGTGGTACTTCAAGGACCGCATGGGGCCGGGGGGTGTGGTGCTGTTCACGCAGTTTGACTCTACTGGGCGGGCGGATGTGCCGAGGCGGGTGCCGCATACTGCGTTTCGGGATCCCAGGGTGGATGAGGGGGCGGCCGAGGCGAGGAGGAGTATTGAGGTTAGGGTTGCGGTGTTTTATGATAGTGACTGAGGCTGTCGCAGCGCCTGTGAGTGGCGCTAGCTATGACTCAACTGAGCTGATTCCGTTATTTACCATGACGCATTGCTGAACATATTGCCATCAAGGATTTCTTGCAATTAGCACACCGTTGGATTACCATTTTATGCCAAAACGGGAAACGTACACTGCCACTAGTAGGTAAGCAACTATATCTTCCTCTAACTAGATCACAGTCACAGCTGTACTTTCTTCGCTCTGACAAGCTTCACAGTGACTGGCTGATTCGGAGCGAAGGTTTATGAACGGAATCACAGCTGAAGATAGCAGGTCCACAAGGCATCACACATACGACCAGAGCACTACGAATTCCCACGCACATATAGCCGCAATATCGAATGGCACAGAGACTCGTCAGTTCAGAGCGTAGACTTTGGCTGCCCAGGAGTGCCATAACGCTGTGACTTTGACAACAGATGCGATCTGGTGCATCACCTGCCGCCCCCTGAAACGCCAATAGTGAAGAGAACACCAAAGAGGGATCACGGCGCTGAGAAGCTCAAGAACATCCATCATACTAAGCATGACTGACAAATTTGCGTAGACCGAAACGGGTCACAGTCTCTGCACCAAGAGGGATCCCGCGGGAGACGGTCACATCCAGTGCCCGGGATGCCCGCAGACATTCAACCGGTATTCGGTGATGGCTCTCTATTTTCAGGCGACATCATGCCCATCTGGCACATGTAACAATAATATCGACATCATCACATTTGCATGCTATCAGTTATGCCACTACACTTCAGAATATTGAGACTCTGACTGGTGCTGCCCTGGTGGATTTCTACAATGAGTGGAGTCCTGCAAGGTGTGTGATTCATTAGAGTAGGGATTATGAATGCGAAATGAGACGTAATGCACGGGAAAAGAAGAAATTCCGTCGTAGTTGTGCATCAGGAAATATTTAAGTTGTCAAGTCGAAGTGTTTTTGTCTAGGGCAGCATCAACCTGGAATGCCTGCAACGACACATTCCATCAGCAGGGCCATTTGCAATGGATCTGGTTATTGAATCTACCATTCAAGCTCAGGTTGATATAATCAAGTATATTTTATGCATGTTTATATGTATCAGCTGTATTTAAACTTAAATTCTTTATAATAACCCTTGAGATAAAAATTTATTTGTGAAGTCTATGATAATCCATGTATATTACAGCATCTCTATCTCCCTGTCAGGTTTGATAAGGGCTCCCTTTTCCTGCCCTCCGCCAAGAAAATTCTACCGGGAAATGTGGACCCCAATCCAAGTTGCCGGGGAGTAGAAACCATTCTTCTATCCTACCCCCCGCCAAGACTTTTCTTACCCCCGTCACCTGTAACCTCCAAGTAGCACAGACACATCCGACCGTCTGGGTCAACCATCCCGCTTCAACAGACCCTGTACCATGCTAGCGAAGCAATCACCCCTCCCATAGTTCTAGCATTTCCTATTGCAAATATCGGTTGTCTGGTCTAGAACCCTTGTTGAGCAGTCATGTCTCTGTTATCGTCCTCATCATCTGAAGGCGGTGGTCCCCAGCACAAGGCTGACGTCCGCGCGAGAGTCTGGGAGCAGCTGCGCAAAGTCGCCTATCCAGACTCGCGCTTCCACTACGACTTCTCCAGCTTTATCACCGACTTCCAAGGCTCCGAGGACGCCAACAGGACCCTGCTAGCCCAGCCTTGCTTCCGGGACTCCACCTGCATCTTCATCACCCCGGACAACTGCCTCGAATACCTACGAGAACAGGCTCTCGTGGCCGGCATCAAGGTCCTGACCACCACCTACGGAATCCGCAGGGGTTTCAAGCTACTGGACCCCAGCCTCATTGACCAGTCCCTGCACAAGTATGCCTCCACTCTGGACGGCATGGAGAAAGTCGCCAGCCCAGTCTCGCTCGCCGAAATTGTCGACAGGCGCCTCCAGGTCGGCCTGATGGTCACGGGCACGGGCGCCATCAATGAGCAGGGCATCCGCTTCGGAAAAGGCCACGGCTTCTTTGACCTCGAGTGGGCCATGCTGCACAGCCTGCGCGTCGTCGACACCACCACGATCACCGCCGCCGTCGTCCACGACTGCCAGGTCCTCCGCGGGGAACAGCTCGTGCCCGAGGTGTACGACACGGTGTGCGACCTGGTCGTCACGCCTACGACGGTGTTTTCCCGGTCGACGACGGCCGTGGTAGCGCGGCCGCCAAACCGACTTGTGGCATCTTGTGGGATCGGCTCGAGCCGAATATGCTGCAGGATATTCCCCCCTTGCAGGAATTGAAGGCGAGACAAGCTCGAGGAATTACGTCGCCGCCTTGATTGCTCGAATAATCCATCCCTTCCTCGTTTTTTGTTTTCTCGAGCTGCAGAGTCCTCCCCGCATTTTTGGGTAACACTTCGTTTTCCGCAGACATCGGCTCTTATCGATAAACATATCTTATCAACCACTAGCCTGCTTATGAACAGCAGAATACCTTCGAGGGCGTGCTGCCCTCTTGCTTTTCTTCCTTCGGGCAGCCCTTAATACAAGTCAACTGTTTTCCACGGTCGAGCTGAGCGCAAGCTATGAAGATGTGGTGACCGTCTGAGGTTCGCTAGATAGCCGTGGTCCAGCGCGTCCCGGGTTCCAGGTAGTCCAGGGCAAGACGAGGCTATGACACCATCCACCTCACAAATCAAACATCAAGCAATCCCAACAGTGTAATAACGCCACAGACGCATAATCAAGTCGAATTTGGAGAAACGTACGAGCCATATCTCATATTTCCTTGCGTCTCCTGAGGCTCAGGCCACTGGAAGATACGGTTGATATCACAAAACTGGGCTGCGGTCGGTACCCAGGTATACGACGGCTGCTAGCTTCGACATCGACCAGTTTGTTGGGCGCGCGCGCGAAGCCATGTCCCTCATAATCTTTCACTTGAAGCACTTGCACACAGATGCAGAACGTCTGTTGTGCTGGGAACGGTCAACGTATGAAAGCGCGGTGAACTGTTCTTTGGCTATTAAAATTTTGAGAGGAATAGAGGGAATAATGTTTTAGTGCATAATATGATTTCTGGACAATTCAAAATATCACACCACATATTCTATGTACCAGCTATAGGATTTTGTGTACCCAGGTGTTGGAATAGCACGGAGTCTGATCGTACGAAGTCACCTTACCTTAGCGGGATAAATAATCCCGTTCACGCTGGCAGACTTCTATAAGACTCTGTAGATAACGAGGTCTCTAATCTTTTAGTGATTCCCTGTGCTATAGTGCAGTGGCGTAGGGTGCTGTCTTCAGAAGGGGCAGCATTCCGCTCACGCCCACGGCTTTGGACAAGATATGAGATAGACTGGTCACACAACGTTTCATAATGGTCTCTGATAACCCTATCTGAGGGCCATGGCGGCTTTATTCTTCTCACTTTCAATCTAACGGCGACTGCCGCCGTAGGTCTATTGTGAATAAACTAATAATCACCGGTCTCTCCTTGCTTCACATCTCATTAATTGCAGCACGTCTTTCCATCCCTGACACTACAGAATCATACGGATTAGCGCTTAGACGTGGTTGAAAGATCAAGGCCGAGAAGGCCTCATTGTTAAGTTAAGCAGCATTGAGTAAAGATTAAAGAATGTTTGAAACTTACATAGAGCAACTGCCCACGTCACAATCAGACTATACCATAGATTGTTAGTGACAGATTTTGCCGTCTTGTTCGATGCTTTAAGCTCTACTTACGTCCCTGGTGCATTCTTGGAAGCCACCGGTGCAACTAGCGGAGACCGTAGCGACATAAGCGAGAAACGTGAAAGCAGCGAGGAGCTTCATTGTCTCAGTTGTGTGTAAATTAATTGGGTTGTTAAAGTGACAGCTTTTGTTGAGTGACAAGTCTTCAGATTGTGTAGAGTAGAATGGTCCTGACTATTTTGACACAAGCAGACGGATGCATTTGACTTTATATAAGTTTGTGTGGTATTGTGTGCTCCTCAACGCCGTTGTAAGGGCACGAGTCATTAGCTAATCTATTCCCTTGCCATCAGCAAGATCGCCAAGCCTCGTATCCTTTGAAGGCTGTTGACAGCCACCTACAGTGGATATCTATCCATAACCTCTCCCTTGGCAAAACCTTACTTGACCTAATAATGGAGACCTCCTTTATTCTGAACAGTTCTTAATCTCATAACTTCTTGGCCTCAGCTGAGGATGACTCGCTACATGTAATGCAGCCTGTAGAGTATGACTCGCACAGCATAAGACTGAGTAAGTACTGTCAGGGCCGTGGGCTGCAGGGACCCTTCGGGTGCAGTTACTTGGCTTATCTTATCAGCCCAACTGGCCTCAAAAACCATCACAAGGCTAAATCATAGCTCTGCTACCTTCTTCCCTTCTTTTGGTTAGGCAACCATAGATGTAAATCAACAATTCCTTACAGTCAGCTTGTGCCTTCGTTGCCATAGACGCGAGGACCATCTCAAGTACTGTATGTAGGTCCATAGCCCCCCTCTCTTTCTTTCGTTTAGAAAAATTAACCTTTCTTCGTGCCACTTTCTGAGCAGCTTGCTTCTATAAGTAAATTAAGGGAAGAGAAAAGAAATCTGCAAGTGGGCCATACAGCGTGGCCCGAGCTATCTACCAGCTCCCAGGGCTAAGGTAAGCGAGTGGGCTGGCTAGCTTGTCCCCAAGCTAGTTGGTTGCAGAATTGGCCCAATGGTGGGTGAGGCCTTACATGGGCCCAGCCCGTTACAAATCGCGAGACATTGAGCGAGTGATTTAAGGAGCTGATATTTGGTGGTATTTCTGAAGTTTAACGATTAATTTAGGCAGTTTGTAAGTGAATTAAATGATGTGTATTGATTTATAGTCAATTATCTCACCTTTGATTATGAAAGCCACAGAGTCAAATGTTGTAATAAGGAAAAGAGTGACTAGTTAATCAATCAGCCTATTTGGGGGGGTTTTCACTGTGACCAGTCACACAGCCACAAGGCTACGCTAGACCGCCTCCTGACTAGTCACAGCATCCTCGGATTTGACTGGTCTGCGTTGGGCAAGCCCCCGTTGGCCACTCTACCCTCCCCGTTGGGACTGGTCACATATAGATACTCATCAACATGCCCTGCATCATTGGCCAGTACTAGATTCATAACTGGTCTTAAACAACTTTCCCCAAGACCAGTCACCACGCAGGCGCAGCCACCCATGCAGACACCGTGTACCAGTGTCATATCGCTTCCAAATATCATGGTTGCCTCAGGATGAATATAATCACACATGGTATTCTCCTTTCTAAACACCCCTAGGAAATCACACTAACCTTGAGTGCAACCTCCGTAACAGCATAAACCGAATTATGCACAAGAGATTCAGGCAGCTGGTAATCGCCAACTGTGGTTAGCGGAAGGGACGCTATAAGGCAAGATAGTCCCATCATACATGAAGGCGCTTAGGTCGCTATTACGGCGCTTGCCCCTTAGCCAGAGGCTATAGTACGCACAACTGCCTGATCACTATCCGGCAGTTGGGAAAGGTACCGCTCAGGACCTACGAGGCTGCCAGCGCGGCGCAGCTGATATAGCCAATCACGAAAGCGGCAGCGCCGACCGCGTCACAGGTATTACAGATAGAACTCGGCAGCTTCCGTCCAAATGGCTTCAGACCGGTGTGGTAACACAGTCCCAAACCACTGCCTCTCGATTCGTCCCCACCCTATTGGAAGAGCTCCTAGAGTGCCTGCAGGTAGCCACAATATATTTTTGGCCCCGGCGTGAGGCAGAATCTTTTTCGAGTGTGGATGGCTTTCGCCTTTGAAGGCCTTATTGTGGCAGCCTGCTTGGCCCTGCCCAAATTTGACAAGCTCCAGCGCTTGCATCATTTTTCGATTCCTTATCCAGGCCTGGACTCAGCTCTCCTCTTTTTCGAAGAATGCGTCGTCTTTTCCTGGTCCTAATTCCCTCTTCAGTCCAGACATGGAAATGGAACACGACGAAATATCCGTTTCTGGGACAACGGCTGATGCATCATCTGCCAACCTTTCAAATGCCCGTCCGAGACAGAACTTGACCACCTCCTCTCAAAACAGTCTTTGTCCGTCGTGGACACCCCGATCCGATCTACCTGTTCGTCGATAGAGCTAACAGCGCCTGTGAGAGAAACCAGGGATCTTTCCGTAGGAGAAGAAAACAACGAGGTGGCCAGTGATGAGAGTCTTGCCTTGAATCAAGAGGCCGGAGGTCAATCATCAGAAAAAACCGCTTCGAGGCCTTGGACACCTGGAATTCTCGCAAATTTTCCTTGGGGTTTTATATTGGTTCTTTTTGGCACTGTGGCATGGTTTGGCGGTTGCATCGGGCTCATTTCCGCCGCTGACAAAACCAAGACCGACTCCTGGGTGATAGCTCCAACCGTCATTCTAGCCATACTTGGACCGCTTGGAAGTATGATGCTTCAATGTGCCCTTTCCTGCGGGCTGGTGATAACATGGTGGAACTCGGCTCTGAGCGGAACGACACTCGGAACCCTCCACAACCAATGGGATCATGGAACCAGCACGTGGGCTGCAATCACATCTGGGAAGAATACGGGCAGGATTGCCTTGGCAAATTTCATGGTCATGTCCGTCTTTGCTGTCAACCCATTGCTCCAGCGAGCACTCACTACCAGCCTCAGAACAGAGCGCGAAGACGTTAGATTGTCGACTGCCACAGCCACAGACGTTCGGTCGTTGCAGGACATGAACTTCACAGGCGCCTATACGGATTCTTTCTACGATCCCGTCCAACTATCCCCCTCAATGACCCAGATTATGCAACAATTTTCCGACCGGGAACCGCTAACGGGAGCCATTTCTGGCTGCACTGGGAATTGTTCCGGGACACTTGCAGCTGCTGGAATCGATTTCCGATGCAGCATAGTTCGCAACACCAGTTTCGCTGCCAACTTCAGAAACGGGGCAGGTGGCACCACACAAGTTTTCAAAACCGGAACAAATGTCATGAACTACCACACCGGTGCGAACTTCAATTTGACCGTATTCTATGCCGAGACAGACATAAGTGATGGCGATGGTTCGGAATACGATACAATGAAATCATACCACGGAGTGTCAACAACTGTCACCCGTGTTCTTCAACACGCAGTTGTCGCCTATCCGTTTTCGCAGAGAGAGGGAGTCATCACGCCCGAAACTAAACGAGCCAAGGTTCGCCTCCTCTCCACGGAGCCCGCTCTCATGAACAATATGCCATCCGACAACAGAGGTCCCGTATTTGGCGGCTTGGGTATTGCAGCGGACAGCATGTTCAACTCGTCGGGGACAGTACAAACAATGGGCAGAGACGGATGGGAATTCTGCACCAGCGGGCCGCTTACGGCGCCCTGGGCGAGCTATCTTGTCCGCGGCGCCGCCGCAGGGACTTGTGCTGTTTGCGTTCAGGTATCCTACCGATGGCACCATTTCCAAGCTCAACGAGATCATGTTCCGCGTGGCCGTGGAGGCGCCGAATGCTTCCAGCCCCTGGACCGAGTTTGACGCTCAGCAGCAGACCGTGTTTATCATCTACGAGTCTCGATATGTGTATCTATGGGGGGCGTTGGCCATCACGGTCTTGGCTGTGGTGGCAGTAGTACGGACGGGTGCCGGATTCCATAACCTTGGCCGCCCCTTTTCGTTCAGCCCGATTGAGATTGCGACCGCTTTCGATTCTCAGATTCTTCAAAAGCCGGGAACTTCGAATATGGATATCAAAGAGTTGATGAGTATTTACTGCAATACCGGAGTCGAATACACGTCGACCGATAGTTCCTACCAGGGGGAGGGGGGGTCTGATGCAGTACGGATGGGTCACGGTAAATCTGCGGTGAATTCACCGTGAATTCACGAGCACCCGTGAATTCATGATATATTCACAGTGAATTCACCGTAAATATATGGTTTTACGATGAATTCACTATATATATACTTAAATAGAGAAATTCCCCGTAAATTCACCTTAAATTTACAAAGGATATTAAATTTTAAACCTTTATTCTTATTATTATAATAGCTATAATTACATGCCTTAGTTATATAATTACCTTATAAAAGAATTAAGTAAATTATAGTTATTATTATTATAATATTATAATATTTATAAATTAAATTATAAAATTCTTAATAATTAATAAGTTAAATAAGTATTAATTTAAGCTTTTTTAAATTATTAAGAAAAAATAAAGTTTATTATAAATTTATAATAAATATATTATAAATAAAATATAAATTTAATATATAATTTTTTTTATATTTTTATTATTATTATTTAATTTTTAATTAATAAAAAAATATTAATAATTATTTTAATTATAAGTAATAATTTTTAAATAAATAAATATTTTTTTATTTATTATATTTAAAGAAATATAAAATTTATTAAATATTATAATAATATTTATTATTTAATAAATTTTTTATAATTATTATATTATTATATATAATTTATTAAAGTTATAAAATTTTTAATTTAAAATAATTAAAAATTAAATAATAATAAAAAAAATATTTTAATTTTAAAGAATTAAATATTAAATTTAATTTTTTTAAAAATATTTTAAAATAATTTTTAAGTTTAATATTTAATAAATATAAATTTATTTAATAATTATAATTATTATTATTAATAATATTAATTAATAAAATATAAAAGCTTAATTATTTATTAAAAATTATTAAATAAAATTTATTTAAATTAATTTTAATTAAAATATATTAAGTTTTTATATAAATTTTAATAAATTATTATTTATTTAAATTATAAAATATTAATTAAATATTATTTTTAATTATTAAATTATATATATTATATTTTATTAATTTATAATATATAAAAATTTATATTTTATAAATTAATATTTTATTATATAAGGAAAAAAAATTTTAAAAAAAATTAAAATTATAAAATTTATTAAAAAATTTTTTAAAATCTTTTAAAATTAAGTTTAATATTTAAATTATATTTAAAATTTTAATTTTTATATTTAAATTTAAAAAATTATAAAAAAACTTAAAGTATTAATATTATATATATTTATATAAAGCTTTTTTTAATTTTTTATAAAATTTTAAAATTTATAATTCTTAATTTAATTAAAAAATATCTTTATTTATATAAAATATAAAATCTTTTAAAAAAAAATAAAATTAAATTAATAAGTAATTATATAAATAATATTATTTTAAGCTTTTTAAATTAATTAAATTAATTTTAAAGTTAATTAAAATATTTATAAATTTATTAAAATTAAATTATTATATTTTTTATAATTATTTAATATAAAATTAAATTAAATAATAAATTTAATTTTATTTAAAATATTTAATTAAAAAAATACTTTTTTTATTAATAAAGCTTTTTTAATTAAAAAATTATAAAATAAAAATTTAATAATAAAAACTTTTTAATTAAATAATTATTATATTTATTTAAAATATTAATTAAAAAATAATAAAGAAAATTAATTATATAATTATAATTAAAAATATTAAAAATTATTAAATAATAATTATTTATTTAAGTTTAATAATTTTTATAATAATTAAAATTTTAAAAATATTATTATTAAGTAATTTAAATTATATAAAAATTAAAAATATTTTTAAAATTTAATTTAAATATTTTAAATTAATAAAAAAGTTATTATTTAAAAAAATTTTTAAAGCTTTATTAATTAATATAAAATATATTTATAAAATAATATTTATTAAAAAGCTTAATTAAATTATAATTTATTTTTTTATTTATTAAATATTATTTATTTATAATTTTAAATAATATTTAATAAAAATAAATATTATAAATTAATTTAAGGAAATTTAAAAATTTAAATTTTATAAAAAAGTTATTTATTAAATAATTTTTATATTTTATAAAATATTATTAAAATTTTATTAAATTAATAATATTATTTTTAAATAAATATATTTATAATTAAAATATTTAAAAAAATATATTTAATAAATTTATTAATTTATAATATTAATTAAATAATTAATTTTTTTTATAGCTTAAAATATATAAAATTAAATTAATAAAATATTAATTATTTTTTATTTTAATTATTTTTTTATTAATAAAAATTTTTATAAATTTAAAATTAAATTATAAAAAAAGTAAAAAACTTAATATTTATAATAAAAAAATTAAATAATAATAAAAAGATTTTTTTAAAAAATATAATTATTATTTTACTTTTTAGTTTTAATTAAGCTTATTTACTTAATGCTTTTATTAATATATATTAATATATTAAATTTTTATTTTTAAATATTAAAAATAAGTTAATTATATTAATAAATTTAATTATTTTATTTTAAAAATTATATTTTAAATTTTATATTTTAAAATATAATTTTAAAATAATATTAAAAGTTATTTAATATTTATTAATAAATTTAAAATAATTAAAATAAATAAATAAATTTATTTTAAGCTTAAAAATTATTAATTAATAATTTATAATAAAATTAAAATTAATTATAATAGCTTTATTAAAATATATAATTAAATTTATAATTTTATTAATACTTTAATTAATAAAATAATATTAAAAACTTTTTAAATATTATTATTTAAATATTTAATATAAATAATAATAAATTTTAATATAACTTTTATTATAAAAATAAGTTAATTATTAAAAATTATTTCTTTATAAATAATAAATTAAAAGCTATAAAAAAAAAAACTTTATTATAAAAAATAACTTAACTTATAAAGTATTTAATTTAAATAAAAAAATTAATAAGTTAATTACTTTAATATTAAAAAATAATTATTATTTTATTAATAAATTAAATTTATATAACTTAATATAAATAAGCTTTAATATTTATTTTATTAATATTAATTTATATTTAAATAAATACTTTTATTTTAATTTTAATTAAATATATTATAAATATAATATTATTTTTATATTAAAATTATTACTTAAAAAGTATTTAAAAACTTATTTAATAATAAACTTTTAAATATTTATTTATAAAGTAACTTAAAATAAGCTAATATTATATATAAATTAATTATTAAAAGTTTTATTATTATATAATAAATTATATATTTATATTTATATATAAATTTAAAAAATTATAAATAAATTATTATTTATAATTTATTATAAAATTAAAGTCTTAAAATATATTATTTTTTAAAATTATAATAAATTAAGTTATAAAAATTAATATTTAAAAAATAAAATATATTAAAATTATTAATTAAATTAAGTTTAATATATTATATTAAGTTATTATAAAAAGTTATTTAATAATTATTATTATATATATTAAAATATAAATATTTAATTATTTAAATATTAACTTATTAATAAATTAAAAGTTTATAATTCCTTATTAAGTTAATATATTAAATTTAAAAGGAAAAGTTATTTTTAAATACTTTAATAATATATTTATAAATATTATAATTTTTATTAAAGCTTTTAAATAAATATATATAGCTAAGATTAATATAAATATTATAATTTTATTATATTTATATTAAATTATATTAATATTTATTATAAAATTAAAAAAAATATAGCTTTTTTATTTTAATTTAAATAAAAAGATTAAATTAATAACTTAATAAATTATAACTTTATAAATATTATTATAATAAATTAATTACTATATTTTATATATATTTATTAAAACTTTTATTTAAAAATAATTATTTTTTTATATATAATAATATAAAATTTTTTAATTAAAAAATTAAAATAAAAACCCTTATATATATAATATTAATTATTAAAAATAAATCTTTTTTTTAATATTTAACTTTATTTAACTTTATAAATTTTCTTAATAATTTAAATTAAAGCTTAAATTATATATTAATATAATATTAAAATATTTACTTAATGCCTTAATTAAATAATATTTTTAAAATATTATTATAAAATAATTTTTTAAAGTTTTAAAAATAACTTTAATTTAATAATAAATTAAGAATATTTAAATTTAAAAACTTATTAAAAGTTAAATTATTAAATAATATTTATATTTATTAATTTTTTAACTTATTTATAAAAAAAGCTAAAAATTTTATTTAAAAATATTATTAAATATTTAAAAAAAATAAATTAATTAATATATTAAAAAATTAATAAATAAAGATATTATTAATAAATAATTAATAAAATTATAAAATTAATAAATATTTATATTATTTAAATAAAAAAAATTAAAAAATAATAAATAAATTTATAAATAATCTTTATTAAAAAAAAAGTAAAATAAATAATATTAATTATTTTTTTTTAAATTATTTATCTTTATTATTTAATAAATTATTTATAATTAATATAAAGATTAAATAATAATAAATTTAAAAGCATTAAATAAAATTATTATTTTAAATGCTTATTTTTTTTCTTTTTAATTTAATATTATAAAATAAATATATAATAAAAGCTATTTATTTATAATAAATATTAATACTTTCTTTTATTAATTTATAATTTATAAATTATATTAAAATAAATTTATTATTATAAATTATTAAAAATAAAAATAATTTAAGATAATAATAATAAAGTTTTATAACTTTCTTATTTATATTTAAAAATATATAAATTATATTTTATAGCTATATAACTTTTTTATTATTATCTTTATTAATAATATTATTATATTCTTTAACTTAATTATATGTAGAAATAATAGGTGTTGTTTATATAAAGGACTGTTTGGGATTAGGCAGCTTTGGCCCATTAAGATGCCCAGTAGGCAGCAGCCTTAATGCTATATATAAAATAGCTAGCATAATTAGGCTTTTTACCTTTCTTTCTTTCATAATTAATAATAATTAACCATTATATTAATTAAACATTATAT